TGCTCCTCCAGAACGAGGTAAAGGTCAGTTCAAAGAGCTGCTCCAGCCTCAGGGGCTGAAACTCAAACCCTCCTTTCCATCTCTCCCCTCCCCGTGGGCTCCCGGTACGCCCGGAGCCAGGTGAGTGCCCCTGTTCCAGATTTTGGGGTTGTTTGTGGGACTGGTTGTTTTAATCTGGAGTGGGCTTAAATCCCTCCCCTGCTAAGGCTTAGAAAAAGTCCTGTGACCCACCTGTTGGTGTGTCAGTTTGGTGCTCATGTGTCCACCCATAATTTTGGGTTTGGAAGTTTCTCCTGGGACTTGCTCCTCTGCTTCAGCACCTGTGTGCCCTGGCATCTCCCTGGGCAGCCAGTGCCAGCCCTGCCAGCACAGCCAGGCTTCTCTTCTGCTCCCTGCTGCCCCCCAGGCTCCGTGTCCCTTCTGAGAGGGGCTCTGACAAGTTCCTGATGCCACAGAGATGCTTTCAGCCCAGCTGTGTTCATAACACCCCAGGAGGTCAGAAGCTGCTCTCCCTTCGCACCTAGCTCCCCGCATGCAGGTGAAGTTCAAGCTTCCTCACTCGTGGGTGTCAGGAGTGAGCAGTTGTGTTGGAAACAGAACGAATTGGTCTGACTGAACGTGAGCCTGTTGATGGCCCTTGATGGGCACCAGGAGGTGGCCCCGGGGTGTCCACAGCTCCCTGGACCATGCAGAGTCCCTGCAGCACGGTGCTGCCTGTCCTATGCTCACCTTGCCCTCTGGTCAGGATCGATTCCTGGTGCTGCTGGAGTTTGAGTGGCACCTTTATCACAGCCACACTGTCTGGACATCAGCTGAAGCCCTGAGTGGGTTTCCTGGGTGCCTGCTCTTCTGTTATATAGCTGCTGACAAAGCTGTGATACGCTGGAGATCTGGATAAAACATGTTGTGTGTTTCATCTGCTGTTGCCTCATTCTTCTGTACTTGCTGCAGGTATCTAATCCCTTGCTCTTTATCTCCTACAGCATCGCCTTACAAATCTTATTTATTCTCCTCCTACCATCCCCATGCTTGCTGGCACTAGGAATCTCAGTAACTTGCTCTGCACGTGCTTCTTAAAGTGCTGGTGGCTGGGTCAGCTCTGTAGCTGGAGGTTTTCCCTTGAGCTGGCCAGTTCAGCAGCAGTGCCTCCACTAGACAGAGACCTTGGAGGCATCCCTTAGTTCCTCCTGGTGCAAAACCTGACCATGAACACTGAAGGGGAGTTTTACCCTGAATACAAACAGAGTTGGGATTTCCCCCCACGTTGAGCTGTTGTTGAAAGCTCTCCCTGATTATTTAAGCTGTGAGGTAATAGTTGTTTGCTGGTGGGTGCTGGCTCTGTGGGCTCTGCTGGTGGTCCCCGTGCTGAGCATCCTGGTGTGTGTATAATGCTGCTCCTACCAGGGAGCATGGCTGTACTCCCTGAGGATTTGGCAAGGAGCTAGCAGAGGGTCTTTTTAGAGGTGTTAATTTGGGAAGAAAAAAATGGCTTGTCATTGGAAGAGTATTTGAGGTCCCTTCCTACCCCTATGATTCTATGATTCTCTGATTCTCTGCAGTTCTTGATGGTGCTTTTTTTATTTAATATTCTAGGATATTTTTGAGAGTCATTTTTGTGTTTCACCAGAGGACTCCCATTTTCTGCCCAGCTTGCCCTAGCTCTCTGTGGACCTCACCTGATCCTAAGCATTTACTGAGCTCCTTGGTTGAGGTGCTAATTGCTGGTGGCCACGAAGGCGTGGAGCAGTCCAGGATGTGTCCAGGCTGCTTCTGCTTTGGTCAAGCCTTTCAGAAGGGTAGCTCTGGTTTTCATCTAAAATTCAGAGGAGGAATTTATAGCATAGGAGAACTGAGTCTTTGCTTTCACCAAGCTGACCCGTGAAGGTGCTTGTTTGTCTGTGCAAGTTGGCACTTGGTCTTGGGCCTGGATTCATTTCATTGACCTTTAGGAAGAGAAAGAACAGAGTCTAATTCAACAAATGTCTGCTTCCAGCCAGTCATGAATCACAGGATTTTTTTCCTACAAGTGTGCAGATAGGCTTTGCATTTAGAGTAAGTCTTTTTTTAAGCATGGCACACTCTGTTAAAGTTTGTTATGTGTCCACATTACACTGCTTTGCTTTTTAACTACAGCTGAAACCGTGTTTGGAATAACAGATGTGGAAAATTGTCATCCCACTGTCACACCAATTGCTCATTGTTCTGAGAAGGTCACATCATAATTCATTAACAATAATTATTCCCTGGGTACACCCTGCACTTCTTCACTCAATTGCTTCATTAACTTGTGAGTGAATCTCACATTCACTGCTCCAATCAATGAAGATATATTTATAATGTACAAGTGGATGCTATTAGTTACAATATATTAACTGCCTAATTTAAAATAGAAAAGCTATTTTTATGAAGGGCAATTAACCACTAAGTGTAATTGATAATTCACATACCTGTGATTAGGAAAGACAAATAATAAGAAAGAAATGAATCACCTGCCTTATTGAAGAAGACACCAGTGTGCAGTTCTAACAGGCAGAAGGGGCTCTTTGGATCAGGACCGAATTTCTAAGAATCCTTTGGTGGAAGGTTCATCATCAGATGTGTTACCTCAGGGTGGTTTTGGTGTTTGCACCAGCCAAGGGGGATCATCTTCTCTAGAAAATGAACCCACCACATTTTATTCTCTTGAGAATCAGCTTAATAGAAAAGTCCTTTTTCATCCTAACACAAAGAAATGTAATAATATTTTAATATGAATTTATAAACCTAGCCCCATGCTTTCCTAGATTTCTAAGCTTAGGTCCTCAAAGATAATTCCACACAAAGTAACACTAACTCTGACAAAAACTGGGCATTTTAATATATTTGAGGAGCTGAGTGACAGTCCCTTTGGCAGAGAGTTTTTTAAAAATTGTGACACGTTTTCAATGCTGATTTTCCATGGCCACTTTGAAATAAGTTGCTTCTCCCAATAGCTGACAACTCGTCCTTGGGGAAGGGGCCTTTTTGTGACATCCCCAGTAGGTCACCACAGTTTGGGTCAGGAAACAAAGCCCTCAGAGGCAGAGGACTTCAATGAGATTGCCAACTACCGATCCACAGGAGCCATGTCCTTGGCTCTGGGTGTCTGGGGCCATGTTTTCATCCCTTGAGAAGCCATTTACCTGTCCTTTGAAAGATTAAGTGATAAATACAACTGAAGCCACCCCAGTGTTGATAGAAGCATCAATGCAACTAGCTGGCCTCTTACCTGGAGTCTGCAGAAGAGCAAGACCTTGCTGATACCTCCAGCAGATCACTGCAGAACGGTGAAAATCCAAATTATAATGCCAGTAGCTGGTGATCTCCCACCAGATATCCCACCAGCTACTCTACTGATGGCTGTGCAGTGCCCTAGGTCATGTGTGTCTACATCCATGGGCTGGTTTGAAGCAAAGGAGCTGCATTTGGGTTTTGTGATTCCTGGAAGGTGTGTGTGCCTGACAGACCGTGGGCATCCCCTCTTCTACCAGGTGCAGCTGAGCTCTGTGCTCCAGGAGGGCAGTTATACACTGTGTCAGGGGCCCTGCACATAGAATCATAGAATCATTCAGACCTTTAAGACCATCAAGTCCAACCATTAACCCAGCACTGCCAAGGCCAGCACTAAACCATGTCCCTCATCTCCACGGCTTCTCAACCCCTCCAGGGATGGGGACTCCAGCACTGCCCTGGGCAGCCTGGGACAGGGCCTGACAACCCTTACAGGGAAGACCTTTTTCCTTATGTCCAAGCCAAACTGTCCCTGAGTCCAACCTCCTCTCAGGGAGCTGTCCAGAGCCAGAACGTCTTCCAAGACGAGGGCATGTCTTGGTCACAGGGATCCTGCTCCTGCTCTGGTGTTTCCTCTGCATTTTTATTGTAATTAACTGAAGTTATGGGTCGGACAACAAAAGCTCCTTTCCTCTTTCTGGTTTACCCTCATGTTGCTTTCACTCAACAGGATCAAAGCCTCTGGTCTGAAGCTGAGGTTCTGCACCAACGAAACCCAAGCAACGCGGGAGAAGTTTGTGAAGAAGCTCCAGGGCCTGGGCTTTGACATCTCCGTGGGCGAGGTGACCGCCCCGGCCCCTGCAGCCTGCCGCCTTTTGAAGGGACGTGGCCTGAGGCCTCACCTGCTCGTGCACGACGGTGGGACAGCACCCCAGCACATGCTGGGGCATTACATTGTCTTTGGTGTCACTGCAGGGGTTTTAAGCTTCAAGTGTTTTCTTCAGGATGTGGGTATGGAGAAAGGATCCTGCCCTCGCTGTTACCCGTCTTTATTCAACTACTCAGGAGTTTACCTCAGGTCTTGGTGCCTGGGTGTGACAAGCTGAGATATAACTGAGACCTGGGTGGTGGGAGCAGGGGTAGGAAATGGTTTATTTTGCTCCTTGTTGTGTGATGGATTGCAGGATCTTGGCAGCAATAGAAGAGGTCTGAAAAACAGTTAAGTCAGACTTCTATTTTTATTTTGTTAAGGGAAACACAAATCTGGGGAAAAACATCAACTCCAGCAGGATCCAAAATGATAAGGAATTTGTGGATTTGTTTTTTTCTTTCTGCTTCTGTAGATCTTGTCCCTGAATTTGCAGAGATTGATAAAACAAACCCAAACTGTGTCGTTATCGGAGACGCAGCAGAAAACTTCACCTATGCCAACCTGAACAAGGCTTTCCAAGTTCTCATTGGGATGGAGAAGCCTGTTCTGATCGCCCTTGGAAGAGGGTGAGTTAATTACTGTTTGTTTCTGCCTCTAGTCTCTACATTTTTTAATTTCTCCAATGTCTTTGTGCTCAGTGGAGGCCGGATGTTGGTGTTGGGCATTCACACTGCCAACTTTTAAGCAGTTCATCTGTGTTTGGGCTGGGAGGCTGCTCTGCTCGTGTGCCTCTCAGTGAAGGGTCCTCAGTGGGTAATTCAGTCATAACTTTGCCTGAGTCCCTTCCTTGTAGCAGCTTTTAGAGACCTGGAGGTGCCCTGGTGTACAAGCACAGCAAACACCACCCTCCAGCCCTCCAAAGTCAACCTTCAGGAGCGAGCAAAACAATCCACGTTTGCAGATGGTGGTGGGAGGGTTAGATAACTGTAGGTTTGTAAGGCACCAGGAAAAGGACTTCAGAGCAGGTCCAAGAGCCTCTCAGAAAACCCATAGGAATCATGGAGAGTTTGGATTTTGATGTGTGCACTTTTGTGAAGACGTTTTGTGAGAGGCCAGTGGGATTACAGGCACTATGTGTCTTTTTTTGTCTTAGAGATGAGAACTGCTGGTTTGACTGCTGCATGCAGCCACGTGCTCCTGTCTGAACTGAATGTAAACTATTTTTAATAGTGAAAGAAACCCAAAACAAACACAAAATCCAGCAGGGCCCTGCCTGAATAAAGGGCTGTTGGTGTGGATTTGTGGTGCAGCTTCATCTCCCAGTATCCTGAAGTTACTCATGGTGGGGAGGATCAGGTGGTCCAAAATTCTCTGTTTCAGCTGACAGCCAGCCAGGTTTCTTCTTCCAAGTTCTCATCCTTCCCATGTTTGTGGTGGCTGAGGTGTGTTACTGGATGTGACTAATGACCTGTGTGACATCAGTGCCTCCTTGCCATTTCTGTGGTACTTCAAGATGCCATCTGGGAACGTTGGCAACAGTGTCTCTGCAGGTTAATAAGTATGAAAATGTCACACGTAAGGGAGCACGTTCATGCTGGTGGCTTGAGAATTGCTACACATCAGGAATAAGAAGCCAGGAGAGGTTTTATTTGTAATACAGAAATCCTACCAACTTATCAAAGTAGCTACAATGCACAAGCTCCACCTGAGCTGTGTTGGAGCTGGGGGTAGATGTTCTTCTGGCTGTGAGTGAAGTGTGGTGGCTGAGAAGACCTCAAGGCAGAGCCCAGGGATAGCCTGATGGGCTGGTGAGTATGGCAAAGGCCTGCAAGCACATCTGTGCTTTTGAACTGACAGATCAAACGTTTTGATAGTTTGACTATCAAAAGACATTTTTAATAAAGGTAAATTTTGACCTCTTGCTTTCACGTGCAGGAAAAATCCAGTCAGGGATTTTGAATTCTTTCCTAAAACCAAATCATTTAGATGTCTTCTGAGATTTTAAGCAGGAGGTTATTAGTGCCAGCACTGAATAATGACCAATCCCAATGGTTTCAAAGGAGTTTTTCTTATCTGTTGTGTCATGTGTAGGCTTAAAAAGGACTATGAATGTTTAGCTTGAGGAAACTCTAGTGACAACTTTTTTTTTCAGTGGTTCAATAGACCATAATGGTCACAAAAAACCTTCTTAGTTTGTGGGTTATTGATCCAGCTGGGTAGAACTTACCAGTGGGAAGGAGCAGTGAAGTCCAGTGTGTTGCTGTACCTGACAGTCACACTCTGATCCTACAACACGGACACAAAATCCTTCCTGATTCTCAGTTGGAAGCTTGAGGAGAAAATGCTGAACCAACAACATTATGATAATGGCTGATGTACATAAAACAACCAAGTTTTGTGTTTTGCAATATCATCTTTCCAAATGAAATACAGAATCAAGCTGTGTTTAAGATGTGCAGTGTGATCAGTGCAAAAATGCCCTTGTAGCTTGTGCACACAGAAGTATTTATTTACTTGCTCATTCATTCATGTAGACAGCTCTAAAAGAGACCCACTGTTATTTTTTGGAAACCTTAGTTTTCATCTTAAAATGTAGATTTTTGGATGTTCTGAGCTCAGCTTTCACCATGAACTTTTTTTTAGCGATTGATCATTTAGGTAACGTTCTGAATTAGTTACCCTGCTAGGTAAGTTCTCTAACTTAAAGAAGGGAGATTATAGATTGGATGAATTGTTCACCTCACCAGAGAAGCCTTGTTGAAGCAAAGGCCCATATCCAAAACCAAGCCACAAGCTGGCTTCTTTTTTAATGTGCAGAGTCCATGTAGTTGGGTGGACCTGAACGAGGTGCAGGCCTTGGGCAGGCAGGTTGATTTTGGCTGAAGTTTTAGTTCATTCCATAGAAAACCAAAATGTCAGAGCCACTGAAGCAGAATGCCCTCCTCTAGAAAATGGAGTGATTTACATTTAGCATCTGTTTTGGGCTGAGAGTGGGAATTGGCTTTGTAATTTCTTCTGTCATGGCACTGTCAGAAAATTAAGCTGTTTACGCTAGACTATAGAAGGTTAATGGCTGTTCTAGCAAAGGTCAAGTGGTCATTTTAAAGGGAGCCTGTGCTGAATAATCGAAAATGGCAGAAGGATAAGGCATAAAACCTTAACTCATTGCTCATCCTACCTCTTTTTTCCTGTCACAGAGAAGTCTGCCTTTGCTTTCACCAGGAGGGCTTGGAAGACCTGTGTTAATGTGAATCGCTATTCCAGAAAAACACCATAGAGATACTGATTCTATGGGCTTCAAGGCAACAGGAACATTTTTCAAAGGAAAAAAAAATAGCTTGGAGAGCTTCCTTAGTCCAAATAAACAGTGCCCTGGCTTTCCTCATGCGTGAGGCTGGTGACAAGCAATAATTGCCAAGCATTTGGGATCCCTTTCCAGAGGTACTGAAGGTGTTGCAGCTGCTGGTTGGTACCAGCATGTCATCCTGATCCTGTGTCTGCCAAGGAGAGTGTGTCTGTGATGAAAGGGAGAGCAGTGTAGCTGTTGTCCTTTGGGAGCAGCTAGTATTCAGTGCAGTAAAACAGAGGCCCAGTTCATCCTTGATAGGAGCTGGTTGAAATCCCTTTGAAGCAGTGGAGTTGTGTTCCAGATGGGCATCCAACCTGAGATCTTTTCCCCAGCACTGCCCTCTACTTAATTCCTGGGGTTAAATTAAGGCTCCAGAGTTTCTGATGACTTGACTTTTTGCTGCAGCCATATGGACATCTGTACAGGCAGAGAAAATAATAAAATGTGGTTTCTTTGTATTTAACTGCCAGTTCATTGGAACTTTATCACTTTCATTTCCAGACGCTACTATAAAGAAACCGATGGTCTGAAACTTGATGTTGGAGCATATATGAAGGCATTAGAGGTATTTTATAGCTTGCATTATGCTTACTCCCTCTGTGCACCTTGTTAAAAGAGTAACTGGTATAAAAATGGGTCATCTTCTGTAATTACTCACCTTGGTGGAGGAAGTTTCCCCAGATTGAAACTCGTTTGCTGCATTCGAACGACGGATGGATTCATTTGTTCTCTGACTTGGTTCATTTTAAAAATTTTATTTAAAAGGTGAACTTTTACCATCTTGGTACCTTTCTTGGAAGTGAGGCCCTTGAAAGAAGGAGGCAGAAAGAAAAAGGAAGGTCTGGTTTATGTTTGGTGTAGCATTGTTAACACAGCCCTTGCCCTTAACAGTTTACAGCAAAAAATACTTAAGTGCAATCCTGTTGTTTAAGCCTGACCAAGTCTGTGCAGAGCTGGAACTGATAGATAAGCCAGCCTTAGGGTGAGAGAGGGACAGAATCATTATTCTCCCTTTTAAAGGCTTGCAGAGAGATAAAAAATAAATGCAGAATGAATGCAGAGAATAAAGCAAAGTAAGGGTTTATAGAAGCACAGAAGATAATGAATATAGTGTATACTTGCAGCACATTCATTAGTGTCTGTGTGAGTTTTGGGGAGACTTTTTGCCTCCCAGGTAAGCTTCGTCTTCTAGTTGTCTAGGAACAAGCTAGAAAGACCTTTTTCAGCCTAGTACTGCTATTTAGTTGCAGGAAAATAAAACTTTGTAAATCTGGCTGGTCACTTGAAACATTAAAAGCATGCCAGGTGGTTGAAGAAACCCTCTGCATCTTTTACAGCCCTCCAGTGCTTGTCATCATTTCACATGAAGGAGGTTTGCTATTTCTTTAAGAGTGATGCTTTTACAAAAATGGGTGATACTGAAGAGCAATCTCATGATGGAGAATGTAGAAGGTTTGTAACTGGAGATGTTCCAGGAGGACTTTCTCTCCTGCCAGAGAACATTAAACACTTCTGTTATCTAAATTCCCTGATATTCACCTTCACCCTCTAATCCATTGTGGTATTTAAGGGCAAAAATCAATAATCACATACTTTTTGTACAATTGACTGGAGTTGTGGAGTTGAACAAATCCTTCTCTGATCAGCATTTTTTATTCGTGTCTCTCTTCATTTTTTTTTCCAGTATGCTTGTGATGTTCAAGCTGAGGTAGTGGGAAAACCATCAAAGATGTTTTTTGAGTCAGCCTTAGCAGAAATGGGAGTTCCACCAGACCAGGTAAGATTTCTGAGGCTGTGACCACTGCCTGTGCCATGTAGTGATGCCCACTGATGCATTTTTTTACTGGTTTGGTGATTTTCACAGAAAGTTATAGAAGCAGTTGAGGGGACTGTGGCCAGAACAACACAGGAAACTTTGGGTGAATATACAAAAATTTTTTTCCAAACTCAGTGTTATACATGGTGCAGAGAAATATTTATATTCAGGATCTTCCTATGAGTTACTTAAAAAAAAAAAAAAAAAGAAAACAGAAAAGAAAAATAGTTGAAAAAGTGCTTCAGAGGGTAAAAAAACCATGTTTGCTCATTCTCTCAAATAATGTGAATTAGAAAAAAGAGAACTGACAGCCAGGAGAGTAAGTGCTGGCAGACAGGGACCTCTTGAATTTCTTCTGCCCTGTTTACTCTTCCTACCCTCCTGCAAAGCATGACAGTGTTTTTTTTTGTGTTTTTCTGTTTTTTTTGAATGAAAATTCCCTTTTCATTCCCTGTACCTGTTTCTCTCTGCTCTGACTGTACCCTTCATACCTCTACCCAATTTAGGGTCTTCCATCCCTCTATTCTCTACTCTGGTTTCTCAGTCACCTTGCTCCCAAACCATATCATTCAAAAGAACATACACTTCTGTGTTGAAGTTCCTTTATTTGGAGGCTAAAGAGGACAATACAGAAGAAGACAAGTTGGGTTTCCCAAGGGATTGTGGCAGATATTGTGCCTCACAAGATGAGAGGTGCCCCAGTGCTTGGCACTCCACTGGGCAACTGGAGGCTGCAGCATGGTGGAATCACAGCTAAAATATTACTTATTTCCTTTGGTGTCACACAGATGAGCTTTTTTTAATAAAAGAAAAAGGCAGAAATAAAACATTTTCTAATTTAGGTGAATGGGAAGCACTGACTGACCCCAAAACCTCCTCCTGTGTTACTGGATTCCTCACACTTTCCAGGAACACACTGATGCTCCTTGCAGCACTTAGTACAGCTCACTTTTTTTTCCCCCTCTCAGTAGTTGTGCTCAGATCCTCTCTATTGATTTATTGTTGTATCACACAGGACACAAGGATGAGTGTGAGATGACTCACAGACAGCAGTGAATTACAACCTCATAATTCCATCAGGGGGTTTTGGTGGCATTATAAACAACAGGAGAGAAATTTGGGTGGCTTGTAGATCCCTAGAACCTGGAGATGAAATTATGGCCCTGTAATTCAGTATGTGCTTGGGTTTTGCTTTATTATAGAGTGGGGAGATGGAAAAGGTTTAGCAGGCCATCTCATCCATCTCCTGCCTTGAGCAGGAGTGTTCCCTGCTCCATGTTTATTAATGTTTTGTCCAGAGCAGTTTTCAGTGAGCCAAACAACTGCACTTTTGTAAGTGCCACAGGGACAGTGTTCATGGCTGAGGAGCTCTCATGGGCTGGCAGCTTTTTCTGGGATTCATTGGGATTCTTCCCTTTTAAACTGCATCTCCTTATTTCTACTTTTACCCCAGATGACAACCAAAATAACTCCCTTCCTGGATATTTTCACCCTTCAGTTACCTGCAGTGCTTTTTTCTATACTCCAGTTTTCCAGTATCTTCCCAGTAACAATATAACAGGTACTGTTTGTGTGAGCCAGATGCATACAGGTTTGTGTTTCCTTATTTCAGAAATGATCAATGGGCAAGAGTAGAAGGGAAGGTGTTACTCTTGAATCTTCCATCCTTGTGTGGTGGCATTGCCTGCCCTTTCCCATAGGCAAGACAGTTGTGGTTGTCCTTGGACACTGTTTTGCCCAGTTCATGGGTATCACAGAATCATAGACTGGTTTGGATGGGAAGGGACCTTTAACATCCTCTAGTCCAACCCCCTGCAGGGAGCAGGGACATCTGCAGCTAGAGCAGGGTGCTCAGAGCCCTGGCCAACCTCACCTGGGATGGTTCCAGGGATGGGGCAGTGACCACCTCTCTGGGCAACCTGGGCACCCTCAGCATAAAAATTATCTTCCTTCTCTCTGGTTTGAATCTCCCCTCCTTGAGTTTCAAAAACTAATCCCCCCTTGTCCTGTCACAACAGGCCCTACTCAGCTTTCTTCCAGGACCCCTCTAAGCACTGAAAGAAGAAGCTCTCCCCAGAGTTTCTCTGGTCATATGATTTGTTCTTTTCCTAGTGTTATATGCCATCAGTTTGTTGTTGTGGTATGTCCAGCATTTGGAGTGATTTTTTGTACTCAGAGAGCTTTGAGGTGAAGGGAGCATGTGGCTGCCCCAGGGTGAGTGTAGTGGATGCTACCCCATGATGGTGCCAGTCACTTCATGCTTCTGACTAAGGAGAAAATTGTGCTGCTGGAGTCAAAACCTGGATCATGAGGGAGGAGCAAATTCCAGCAGAGCAAACTCCCTTCATTCTGGCACACTCTCCTAACTTCTGCATGCTTCTTGCAACTTTAATGTTCTTTAGAGCAGGATTTGTAGGTTGTTTAGTTGCATATAATGATAAGAACTCTGTATATGGAGTTCAGGGAGTTCCTCAGTCATTTCAATCTGTCTCCCAAATGAGCTGTACTTCCCTGCCTTTGTAATGACATGACAACAACTGGTTCTGCTTGCCTTGAGTTTTATAAAATGCTGGCCAATAACTTATTCCACCTGTGGAATGCATTTAATCCATACCATCATTAAACCATCTTAGATGAGCTGTGCTTTTGGAAACATATTACAATTTTTTTTTTTTCAGCTGATTTTTAATGAAAAATGCTGTTTTAATAAAGCTGTCTCAGCACAGCAGTGCTAGACAGTGGCAAATCTTAAATTTCTCAAGCTGCTTTAATCAATAAAGTTATCACCAGTCGTTTCCCTTGATAACTGCTTCTCACTGAGACCCTGACTTTCCCTTCTGCCACTGAGATGCTTTCAGCCTGCACTTAGAATAGGAGGAACTCCCCAAAGTCCAATTTTCATTTTAACCTTTCCTCAATGGCCTAGAAATAACAGATTGCTGGTATTACTGTAATAGATTGGAAATTTAAACCTCTTAGAGGTAACCAGACCTGTCTTATGATTCAGTAATACGACAAAGAATAACACATCTTAAAGGTTACTGAAATGCCTCATTCATATGTTTTAAGGCAGCTGTGTAACAGTGGATGATTTTTACAGCTTTACAATAAAACCTAAATAACGTTAAGGTTCTGGTAGTTTTATATAATCATAAAAAGTTCTCTCTGTGGTAAATGGTCCTGATTTAATGAGACTTAGGGCGGGTCGTACTGGAGTGCATAAACTCCTGGTAGTTAACCCATTCCCTTTTCTGCCCCCTCCAAGTCTCAGGTGGGAGTTAGTGGTGCATGAGAGCAGGGGGAGGTCACAAGATAGAAACACAGTTAACAGAAATTTGGGGTCCTGAAGCCTGGGAGATTTCCAGCTGGGCCAAGGAGACTAGGGAGAAAAGGAAATGCCTCATATTTCTTGTGTAGAGGGGTTCAATATGTTAATCAAGATTTCATGTATGAGCTTTATTTCCTCAAGTCTTTGGCACATTTAACTTCATTAAGGTTATTAAGCCTATAGCAAAAATCTGTTTAGGCATAAATATGTTCAACTTCAGAAGCATTTGTGGAGTTAAATATTCTGCTGAAGTTAGCAGACTTCCTCCTGTGCATCTCCCCATTTCCTCTTGTCCTATCACTTGTTCCTTGGGGGAAGAGCCTGACCTGGCTCCAGGCTCCTGTCAGGAGCTGTGCAGAGCCAGAAGGTCTCCCCTGAGCCTCCTTTGCTCCAGGCTCAGCACCCCCAGCTCCCTCAGCTGCTCCTCACCACACTTGGGCTCTAGACCCTTCCCCAGCTTTGTTGCCCTTCTCTGGACCCTCAAGGTCCTTCTTGGAGGGAGGGGCCCAAAACTGAACCCCTGGTTCCATGTGTGGCCTCCCCAATGCAGAGTACAGGGGAAGGATCATTCCCCTGGTCCTGCAGGCCACACCAGTGCTGATCCAGGCCAGGATGCTGGTGGCCTTTTTGGCCACCTGGGCACATGCTGGGTCATCTTCAGCCAGCTGTCCACCAGCACCCCCAGGGCCTTTTCAACCAGGCACTTTCCAGCCATGGTTCCCCCAGCCTGGAGCATTGCAGGGGTTGTTGTGACCCAAGTGCAGGACCCAGCACTTGGCCTTGTTGAAGCCCATACAACTGACATCTCTGAAGGCTCATTAGTGTTGGCTACTTCTTCTCCCCTACCTCCATTCATCTCTGGGTCCATGACCCAGATGACAGCAGTAAGACTACTGACCGTGGTGGTGATGTGTGCCACAGACATTTATCCAGTGGGGATTATATTGGGCCTTCCCACCCCCAAATTCTTGGAGGTCACGTTCATCTCCATTGTCACAGCCACTCCAGGTTCAATTTGATGGAGGCTCCTCAAGAGCACACGAGAGCCTTTACCACCTCTGTACAAGCACATGCACCATCTCTCACCAGCTGTATGGCTTAGGAAAAGACAAATTACACCCATCTTAATTCTTTGATGATCTGTCTGAACACCAGGGAGACTGTCCCACTGCATTTTTACCCTTCTTTTTAGCATGTTTTCAGCTGATCTTCAAAAAAAAAGTAACTTCTGCAGAATAATTGAACAGATTAATAGTGTGATCCCTGTGTAAAATGTGAACACAAATGGGGATCTTTTAATTCTTGCTTTCAGTGGGTATGTGACCTTTCAGTTTTATATCTTTCTCTCTCTTCTTACCATATTGCAGTCAGAGGGGAAGTTAAACCCAGGTTTGACAGGTAGAGTTTTTTTATTTCCCTTGACAGCACACCTTTTGACCTCTATCTTCTTGCCAATGATTTTTTTAAATCCTAAATGATTTGGGAATAATTGCTCCTCCTTTAGTGATTATTGCCCTTCACCGACAGTAAATCTGTGAAATCCCCAGGGGCTGGAGTACATTTTTGTATGCCTGTGCCACAAGCTGGCCTGGACAGGCATCGCTGCTCATCTGCAGCTGCACTTGCAGAGCTGCTGGGCATCTTGTTAGAAAACTTGCCTGGAGGGGGGAAAAATACAGCCTTGGCCAGCAAACGAGTGCTTGGTGGGCTGCCCTGCTCTGTCCTTTCCTGTTTCGAGAGGAAATTCATTTTCAGGGTTTGGAGAACCCAAGACTGGAATTGTCTTTGCTTCAGAAATCTCATCCTGAACATCTGGGTTCAGGCTAAGCAAGGGCACGTGGGTGGTGGAGGGCAGATCTGCTCCCAGCAGGGCTGTTCCCTGTCCCCCTCAGGGAGGAATTTGATAAGAAAGGATGAGAAACTATTAAAGCCAGTAGTTGAAAATGGTTAAAAATCTCAGAGAAGCCAGGGGGGAGATTGGTAATGGTGGCTGGCTGGGAGCAGTGTTGCCAGATATTGCAGCTCTGTATCTAACAGTGGATTATTCTGTTTTCCTCATCTGTGTATAAATCCTTTATGTACTAATTTCTTAAAATGAACCCAGTGTTTCCTCCCCCTTTCATGCTGGATTGCTCATTTGGAGGAGTGATAAGGACAGGTGAACTATCTACAGGGGAAGGCATCTGCCTGGAAACACACACATGTTGCCATGAGCAGAGTGAAAAAGGAAAATGGGCCAGTTATGAAAGGATGGAGAAGACTGAGCCCTCCATCTTCAGGTGGCTTTGGAGCAGTTTGTGAGTAGATAGCTGGAAAGGCAGAGCTACCTGTCCCAAAGCCTGCTGCTGCTCCTGCCCTGGGGGCATATTCACCCACCTCTGACCCCTTGGTCACAAGTGCTTATGTCTCTTCTTCACTGCAAGGGTTGTCAAGCCCTGGAAGAGGCTGCCCAGGGCAGTGGTGGAGTCTCCATCCCTGGAGGGATTGAAAATCCATGGAGATGTGGTGCTGAGGGACATGGTCAGTGCTGACCTGGCAGTGCTGGGTGAATGGTTGGACTTGGTGATCTCAAAGGTCTCTTCCAAACAAAACAATTCTATGATTTTGATTTAGTTTTTGTCAGCTGAAGCTGCTCCAGATACACGTTTGTAGCTCAGTTTGGTTTCTGGATGTTCTCAGAAAATCTCTTCAGCTGCAGCTTTAACCTCCCAAGCCCCATACCTGGGACAAGGACCCATCAGGACAGACCTTAAAAAAAGCTCAAACCTCACAAAATGCAAAAGCAGTTTCTTTAGTAAGAAAATAAACACTTTACTCTGTGTATCTGACGTGTGGGTGTGAAAATAATCCAAAGTACTTGGAAGGAAAGGGAATTCAGAGAAGAATTTCTAGAGCTGCAGGGTGTCCTTGTTGGGAAAGTCTGGTGGTTATGTTTGTGAAGCAGGAGGCTAAGTCAGGATGAAGATCAGGTGGCTAAAGATGGAACTAACTAATATTTAGCTAAAATTCAACTGTGATACAGAAGGTGCAAAAGCACATTTTAAAATTAGATAGATTCTAGATTACATCTTTTCAAAGCTGTTTAGTTCCACAGTTTTAGGTGCTGTCTCCACAAAGGTAAGCACTGTGAGGTGAACACGTGTGCTACACGTTTTCATCAGACACTCAGACAAATTTTAGCCCAGCTAAAAGGTCTGGCCTGAGTTACATATTTTTTTTGGTGATCTACTCAATTGTATTTATCCATATTTGCATAGACTTAAGCTGCCTGTAACACAAACCATGCCAGGCCTGTGCATATCACATCACATTGTGCCAAAATAAATCAATCAGATTTTACAGTGACTTCCCAGAATTCTCTGTCAACCTGAACCTGGGTTGGGCTCAAGCCCTGTGAAGTTGCACATCTCAGTGATCACAAGCTTAAGCTTTTGACTGGCTTTTAGAATACCCATTTTCAGGGATTTTAAGAAGTTAAGCTTAAACTGCTTGGAGCATCACAGAAATGCATCATTAAAAACTACATAAAATTGAACGTTTTCTCTGAACTGTGCCAAATGACTTGGATTTTGGGGGTTGATTAGAAATTGTACAGATGCCTGCTGCACCAGCACCTTGCTGGAGGACCTGTAGGGTGAATTATATTCAAGGTAGGCTGACTTTTAATCAATACGATGACAATATTATCTTGTTTAATTTGTCTGATGGCAGCATTGAACATCAAATCAAGCTGTTTGTTATCAAAGGAGTGTGATCTATGACAGAAATAAAATCCACCTGATGATGGTTTTTCTGTATTTCATCTTTTTGACAGGCCATCATGATTGGGGATGATATTGAGAATGATGTTGGAGGGGCCCAGCAGTGTGGGATGAGAGCTCTGCAGGTTCGGACAGGGAAGTACAGGTCAGTGCATCCCCAACACCCCACATCCCCTGGGGGCAATCGTGGGAAGAGGAGAAATAACTACAGGGAATTATTGCTGTATTTACCTCTCTGCCCAACGACCCTGCACTCTGATTTCCTCACAGCACGTTCATTTCTGCCAGAAAAGGAGTTGTGCTTTGGAACCTGCTTCGTGTTCAGAACAAATGCACAAGGCTGGATTTTGTCCATGCCTTTTCCAGGTTTTTTCCTGTTGGTGGCACAAGTTTGCTGTCAGCATAGACCTGCATTTGTCTGCACAAACAAACCTCCTTGAGCAGCAGCTAGGCTTGGGTGGACAATGACATTTTCAGTTGCAAAATGCAGTTTGGGAAAACACCATGTGTATGAAAGTGGCAGGAAGGGGAAGACGTGTCGTGATCTTGTAAAGAAATTCTTTGATCTTTTAGAGAGATATTTTCTGTTGAATTCCTGCTATGATTTTTTCATGGCAGTGCACAGAGCTGGTGTGGGGTTTGGATTTTGCTTGGTTTCTTTTTTTGCTGCTGCGTGAAAGCGTTGTGCACTTGCTGAAAGGCATGTGTGAAACTTCTAGCAGGGTTGAGATTGTAAAATTAGACTGTCGACTTCGTGATCTCTGTGGGTCATATCTCACAGCTTTCTGAAGGACTCCATATGTCTGCTGTTTCCTCCAGACATGTATTCAGCACTGGATGTCTGAAACGTGAGAGCTGTTTCTCCTCCACGGCTCCATTCACCAGAGCACAGGCTTCTGCAGGCTCACTCAGCTCTTTCAAATGACCCTTTGAACCCTTCTCCACGCAGGTGTCTTCATGATCCTGTGTGTTCATTGACCCAAGAGCTACCTCCCTGCAGCTGCTGATGGGAGACCTGAGTGTGGTTAGGAACAGGGCATGGTCCAGGGCTGACTGGAGATTGGTGGTGTAAAACTGGGAGGACAGGCTGATAGACTGGATGGCTGTGCTGCTGTTCAGTGGGACCTAGATGGGCTACAGAGGAGCCTAGTGAAGTTCAACTTCAAGAGTACACTTAGGGAGGAATAACCCCCTGCACCAGTACAGCTTAGGGGCTGGCCTCCTGGAAAGCAGCTCTGCAGAGGAGGACCTCAGAGTCCTAATGGACAGCAGGTTCACCATGAGCCAGCAGTGTGTCCTTGTGGTCAGGGAGGCCAGTGGCTTCCTGGGGTACACTAAGAAGAGTGACCATCAGGGAGGTTGTCCTTCCCATCTGTTCTGCCCTAGTGAGGCCACCTCTGAAGGATTTTGGCCAGTTCTGGGCTCTTCAGTTCAAGAGAGACAGGGAAATACTGAAGAGAGTCCAGCAGAGGCTGCAGAGATGCTGAGGGGCTGGAGCATCCCTGTTCCCAGGACAGGCTGAGAGCCCTGGGGCTGTTCAGCTGGAGAAGAGAAGGCTGAGAGGGGATCTGATCAATGCTGATGAAGAGCTAATGGGTGGGGGCCAAGAGGCTGGGCCAGACTCTTGTCAGTGGTGCCCAGTGAGAGGACAAGGGGCAATGGGCACAAACTGGAACCCAAAATCTGTATTTCCTGGGTCATTCTTTACCCATCATAAAACATACCACAGGTGCAGCTGCATCCAGACTGTTCAGGCAACTGACTTAAACTCTTTCTCCACACATAGAAATGTGTGTAATCATATGCTGGAAAAACATGTTCTTGTGTGAAGCTTGAGTCATGGTTTCAGAGCTGAAAGGGGGCATCAGTTCTACATGGGGAAACCAGATTGTTCCCACTGTTACATTTCCTGTGTCAGTGTGTGGTTGCTGTGGTCTGAAATCATCTCTGATATTATGGCAGGGAAATATGGATGAGTGTCTCTCTGAATGGACCTTGTGGTGTTATTAGCCACAGAAAGATGAAACAGCTCTTGTTTGCCAAGAGAGGTCAGGGCTGTGTGTATTTGTAAGAAGGGCTGCTTTAGTATGTGTGGAAAATTGAAACACACAGGGAGCCTTGAGAGGGATGGAAAAAACTGAATGAAAGCTGATGGGCGAAATTAAAAATACCAGAGAATGTAATTATTTTATGGCAGGTGTAATTTCAAGTCTGATAGACAAGATTATGTGCAGGTCCTGCCTGTTTCTCACTCCCATGGTTGTTCTTGCTGACAGAGAGCTGTGTGCTACACCCAGGTCCCTCTGGATGGCACCATTACTACGTTCACTTAGTCACAGCTCCAGCTGCAGGACCTCCCCCGAAAGCTGAAGCTGCTTTTGCAGAAGCAGCACAAAGACAGCAGAGTTTGGTGATGGACACTGCGTGTGAGGTGGTGGGACTGCCACAGATTTCAGTTCTGAGAGTCTTGCAGCCCAGGACATGGGTGGTCACCCGTGTTTCTACAGCCAGGAGGACGTTTTTTTTTGCTTTTCCAGCACCACGGTGGTGCCTCACGTCAGCAAAACGGCTGCAGAGCTGATTTGGGAATAAAATGAAAACTAACTGAGGAATTACCCCAAGGGGTTTTGTGGGTGCACCTCACAGCGTAGTGCTGGATGTGTGGGAGTGACTTTGTTTTCACAGGTTCTCCCAGGAAAGGCACTCTGTAGGTCCAAGGGGTCCTATTGCACCCCTGCAGCCTCACCTAAATGTTGTCCCCAACCAGCAAACGTTGTCACCTCCTTATTTCAGGTGTCAGTGCAGATTATATGAATGTTTTTGAGGTCTGCTGCCCAGCAGCTTCCACCAAGGGTCTTGCACGAAAGATGACACATAGGACAAGGTGTGCTGTGCTGTTTATTTCAGAGGGTTTTCAGCAAGCTCATGTGGATTGCAGGCTGCAAAACAACTCAGAGCATCTTAAAAGATGGGTGGATGTGGTGCTTAGTGATGTGGTTCAGTGGTGAACTTGGCAGTGCTGGGTTAATGGTTGGACTGGATGATCTTAAAGGTCTTTTCCAACCTAAACATTTCTCTGACTCTGGGATATTACTTGCTTTAATAAGCCAGAAGAGAAAGTCCCCTTTGGCCTTGAAAGCTTTTTATGGAAAGAGTTGTTTGAGCTGCTGCTGCAGAGGTTTTGGCAGCTGGTAGGGGTGGGTGAGACCTCTGTGGGGTGGGCAGCTCCAGGTGGTGCAGGAAGCTGACTTCAGCTGAGGGGCCTCTCTCCGTGCTGCTGTTTGTGCCCCGTTGCTCAGTGATGGTGGTGGTGGGTGCCAGCTCCCTGCAGAACTGAGGAACTGGTTTTGTGCATGCAGGATGGGCCTGTGAGTGGTTGGCTGGGCAGGAGAGTCGAGGTCCAGAGAGGTGGCAGCAGAGGGGGGGAATGAAGAGCCAGCTTAGCCCTAGGGCTGCCTCTCTGCCTGGGCTCTCACTCTCCTGGTCTCTGTGAGGTCTTCAGTGCTGGCTGCTCCCAGGGTGAGATTAAAAAACATTCAGTTTTTACACCACCTTGCATGGAGATCGTGAAAGTTAGCTCCTCTGTCTTGCTTCTTCTGGATCTTTCAAGTTTGTTAAAATTTGTGCAGCCAATTTCCTCTAGTATGACAAACTCGGCGTGTTCCTCACTCTATACTTATGTTCTCTAAAGCATTTAATCTTTGAGGGTGACAGAGCCTGGAGCAGCTGCCCAGAGAGGTTGTGGAGTCTCCTTCTCTGGAGAGATTCCAAACCCACCCAGACCCCATCCTGGGCACCCTGCTGTGGGTGACCTGCTGGAGCAGGGGAGTTGGAGGAGATGATCTCCAGAGGTCCCTTCCAGCCCCACCATGCTGGGATTCTGTGACTTAATCTCAAGTGCTGGGCTCTTTCTCAGTAGCCAAACCAGGCATGGCACAGGGGAGCCCATGAAATGCAGTAAGTCCTCATTGCAGTATGGAAAAGAATTTCTGTTGGTGCAAGTCAGGGCAGTCATGGGAAGGTGCAGGGATGAGGTGGGGTTTGAGTTCCCAGCTGGCACTCTCTGACATGGTGTGGGTAGTCAGGTTGGCCAAGCAGAGCCTGCCTTAGGGTGTAAAATCCAAACCCAGAGGGGCAGTCGAGTCTGCAGGGCTGTCCCCCCTCAGCTGGTCCCTTCTGCAGGACAGATCAGCTCATGGCTGCAGGCTCTGGTGTGCTGAGGAGAGGAGCTGCTGTTGGATTTTCCAGCATGGGGAAACCTGACACTGGTTATGAAGTCTCTGTGCACACCTGCCCTCTGTAGCCAACATCTTTCCCATCTAGGGAAGAACATGGACTCGTCCTCCTGCGCAGGGTATGTGCTAATTCCACTTGCAGCTAATTGCCCTTGACATCAAACCAATGATTTCCACAATAACCATTGATTCTGCAACACTGGGTAATATCCCAGGTCCTCTTCTAGCCTGCAAGTTAGAGCAGAGAAAAAAAAAAACACTTTGAGGCTTTTCCAACTGTCTTCCATAAAAATGGAAACAGCTTTTGGGTGCGTCAGTGCCTCGGATTGCAGGTGGATCTTGGCAGGGTGGAAGGATTAGTTATTACTCAGCCCTTCCTCCTCCTTGTGATTTACAGGCCTTGGTTTGTAAGTAAAGAAGTTGTTGTTACTGGTGTGCAGCAGTAGCTGGGAATATCCACGGCAGTGCCCCCTGCTATCCCAGCTCCCTGGTGGGCTCCAAAAGGCTTTCAGAGTCTGTCAGTGTGGGCTCATCCCCTCTCAGTGCTCACCTGAGTTTTTTGTCTCCATTTGATAAGGAATTTATCTCACGGCCATGGGTGATACTCCAAAATCCCTGAGCCTCCTTGTTGTGGCCATAAAGGATCCCACAGGGATGGGGGATAAAAGGCTTGAGGCCCAGGAGATCTGTCATCTCCAGCTCTGCCACTGTTCTCCAGGAGAACTGGGTCAGGTTACTTAATGTTGTCATTCTTCAGTTTCCCAACTTTATAATTACCCTCTGAGAATAATTATCCTGACTTTCTTAATAAAGCAGCTTGTGATGTGTTCCCCTTATCTGATTGAAGACAACAGGCAGAATTTGTAAGAGTTTTATAGGAAATGGGCTCACCAGAAGAAGAAGCCAGATG